TGATGGAGCGTCCCAAACCCTTAAAAAAGGGGGATGCTTACCTCATTCCTTCCAACGTAAAGCACAGTGCAAAAGCTTTTGATAAACCCGCTGTCGCACTTGACATCTTTAGTCCACCAAGAGAAGATTACAAATCGTGAAAATCTATCACCCAATTCAGGAACTCGAGGCAACAGGTATCGTCACCGCTGGTATGAGTCTACGCCGCGGTGGTGTCAGCCGCAGCCCTTACTGCTCCCTGAATCTTGCTGAACATGTCGGTGATGATCCGAAAGCAGTTGCAGCTAACAGAGAAATTCTCTTCCAGCAGACCGGCTTAACGAATCTGCGCTACTGTCGTCAAGTTCACGGCACCGATGTTATTAATGTAGTTGATCAAGCACTGTCAACGCCTACACTACCGCCAGAAGCGGACGCACTTGTCACTGCGCAGCGCGACGTAGCATTAGCCATTTTCACTGCCGATTGTGTCCCTATTTTCATATTAGATGTCGCAACGCCCGCGATCGGTATTGCCCACGCGGGGTGGCGGGGCACGCTCGCACGAATAGCAGTAAATACCCTCGCGCGAATGGAGACACTATTTGGAACAGTTACTGCAAACTGCCAAATCCATTTAGGTCCATCCATCCAAAAGTGTTGTTATACCGTCAGCGCAGATCTGCTCACCCAATTTACTGACCACTTCGGCAGCACGGTAGCCAGCGGCACAAACCTGAGCCTACAATCGGCTAACGTTAATCAATTGGTTGAAATAGGTTTACCCACCACCGCCATTTCAGTATCCCCATTTTGTACTGCCTGTCGCACAGATCTTTTTTATTCACATCGTGCTGAGGATGGACAAACCGGTAGAATGCTCTCATTTATCGGACTCAACATCGAAAGCTAAAGACTTCTTCGCTGTAGGAGCGACCTCCCGATCGCGACCCGTTAGACGCTAACAGAACGCTTCAATTCTCCCGTGGCTTCGATTTTTCGCGCAAGACTACCTAAATGTAGGAGCGACCTCCCGGTCGCGACCCTGGGCTTCGCTGGCGAGGTTTGAAACCTCACCCACCGACATTGATAGCTGACAACTATTCCTCTGACGACTGACGGCTTCTGGAGTGCTAACGACAAATTTGCATTCCTCGGAAAAATATGGTATTATTAAACATATAAATATCGCGAAGGCACCTGCAGTGCCAGCACTGCCCGCAGCCGTAACCTCACGACAATTTGCAGCGTTATTTTCCCTAAATGTTCCAGCTTGTTAGGTCCAATAATCTCTTAGGCTTGTTGTTAGACGACAATTTGGTAGATACCCAAGGAATCGTAAATGCGCACGCTCTTTGTAACGTTGTCAATTGTTATAGGTTTTATTGGGTTTGTTTTTATCGTACTCGGTGGTATCCATCCTAACAAGTATCAGAGGACTTTGGCGGAAAGCAAGAGCGCAGCCCAAGTCACGCAGATTTATACGGAGGCAACATATACGATAATAGTCGGTATCGGTATTATTAGTGCCGCTGTTTTAATCGCCGTTATTGGTATACTCCTTCATACAAACAAACCTTTAGATACAAATACGCAATCAACTGAACAGCTTGAAGCTAATGAAACGAGGTGTAAGCGAACTAACTGAAATTTCTTTGAAAAGAGATTCATAGGACCAAGCGAGGGTGTGTCAATTGAATTCGATTGCCGATAATCTTTTCAGCATCAACGAACGTATCGCCCGCGCGGCGGAACGGAGTAACCGCACACCCGGATTCAATAGAACTTGTTGCTGTTACAAAAGGACGTTCAGTATCGGAGATGCAGGGGGTTCTCGCTGCAGGTGTTACAAACATCGGTGAAAATCGAGTTCAAAGAGAGCGCAGCACGACTTAATATAGCTACGCAGCAGTCAAGTGCTCTTGTTGTTAGATGGACGACCCTGTTTCATATCTGCTGACCTAAAACGTGCCGCTTGGCCATCTTAGCGGGCCTTGGGGACCCTACAGAGAATAAGGTACAGCATCTCTGGAGAGTTTGTCCATGATTCAGTCGCCAGGAGTGTGTGTTACATGGTGGCGCCACTGTGTAGCAGATGCATCAGCGCGCGTCGATATCTGAAGAGAGCGAGCACAACGGATAGATGTCCTCATTCAGGTAAACACGACTCGCGAGACCAGTAAATACGGCTTAGACTCGGAGAATTTGCTGGCATTTATGGCAGACGCGCAGACATATCCGACAGCAAATATTGTCGGTTTAATGACAATGGGGCAGTTGAGTCCTTCACCGGACGCAAATCGCCCTGCTTTTGCTTTACTGAGGTCACTGGCTGAAAAGGTAGAAACCGAACGATTCCCTGGGGTTACTATGCAATACCTCTCTATGGGAATGACAAACGACTTTGAGGTCGCTATAGAAGAGGGCGCGAATCTCGTTCGGATCGGTAGGGCAATCTTCGATCCTTCAGCGAATTTGTAAGTTTCCATACGCGCAGATGCCTCCAGCATCGGTGTCGTCAGGAGAAAAAAGTGGTAGAAGACCTTCGATTAGGTGTAATAGGCGTTGGAAAAATGGGCGGCATTGTCGTTCGAAGTATTGCTGACGTGGTGTTCCCCGCAAGACAGATTTGGGTCACCGACCTTGATAGCACCCTCGTCCAGCAGCTCTGTGATGAAAAAGGCACCAACGATGCAGGTAATATTGCTGGCTTGGTAGAAAAAGCAGATGCTATCTTCTGTGCAGTACCACCAGCGGCTGTCCCCAACATTCTACCACAAGTTACGCACAATTTATCAGCACCACAATGGCTCATAAGCATTGCAGCAGGTGTTACGACCACAACACTTGAATCTTACTTTGACACTGCACCACCCATTGTTCGGGTGATGCCAAACATCTCGGCAGCAGTCGGGGCTGCAATATCAGTACTAACACCTGGTACTGTAGCGAATGAAACACATCTTGAAATCGCACAGGAAATTTTCAACGCCTGCGGCACCTCTCTAATTATGGATGAACGTCATCTTGATGCTGTCACAGGCGTGAGTGGCAGCGGACCAGCTTATGTCGCCCTCTTCGTAGAAGCACTCGCTGATGCAGCGGTACATGTCGGTATATCTCGGGCGGATGCCCAGAAACTCGCAATCCATACCGTGTTAGGTGCTGCTACTATGTTAGCCGAAACGCAAGAGCATCCAGCGGTACTCAAGAATCGTGTTACGACACCTGGCGGAACAACTGCTGCTGGACTTCACGCATTAGAATGCGGTGGCTTACGAGCAACGCTCACAGAAGCCATTCTTGCTGCGACGGAACGAGCGAAAGAACTCGGCAACGCATAATATAATTGGGGCGCATAACAATAGAAACTATGCCTATACACAACACTGCTCGGTTCATCGCTCAACTGCTTGAGATTTACACATTAATAGTTTTTGCAAACGCCCTACTTTTCTTGGTTCGCTTTTGGTACGAAAAATACAGTCGTCAAGCAAATCTATTGGTGGACAAGTCGCATCGTCAATCCAGTTTTAAAACCGATTCGTAACGCGCTTGAACCAGTGTCTCGGAACTTTGGTATTGATATTTCACCTTTTATACTCATTATTCTGTTGCAGATTCTGGTACGGATGCTCCGGTGATAAGTGAATGGATATGCCGACCCGCTTGATGCGGCAAAACTGAGAGTCGACTTGCACGAAAAGCATAACCTCGTCTAACTGACAAGTGGTTCAAAGACAACAATACGAAAATATGAAAAAACGAAGTTCCCCTGCAAAAAACACAACGCGTAAACGGGGTAAAACCACGAAACCACAAGAGAAGTTCCAATTGGCAGACAGGCCCAGCGAAAAAGCTATCCTGGATGTTTGGGCAAACGCCAATGTTTTCCCCCTCGCGAATAAAAAAGCGAATACTGTAGCGCGCACCGCACCGAATGTAAGTCCGGCGCAGCCCCACCACACCTCTCAAGTTGAAACTTACGTCCTGAGGGAAACCCCTACTTCTTTTCATGCGCTCACACTTGACACGCTTTGTAGAAAAATTTGCCAAGATGTCTTCCTCAAAGCATCGTTGATGCAGGGACATCAAATTACATACGTACCCACATGGGAAACCTATCCGCTTTGGATTGAGGAGCGCATCATCGCGGAGGCAAAATCTAAATCTCCGATCAAACTATCTGTCCTTCGCAAGCGATGTCGCGCACGACACAAGCAGGAGTTAGAAGTCCAAAAACAGAAGTTCTATCAACTCGGTATCTTCGCGGATTGGGATGCTGCACAGAAAACCCTCGAATCACGGCAGGAAGCAAGGCTCATCGCTCTCATAAGCCGACTACGGGATTCCGATTACCTGCACGACCTACCACAACTGAGCCCATGGTGTCCCAAATGCACAGCCCCAATCAATGAAGCGAATCTCCTACAAGAATCTACACACGCCTTGAACGGTTACGTGAAGTTTCCTTTCAATTACGGATTGGAGGAATTCGGCATTCATGTCTCTTTTTGCATCCGAATGCTACATCTCTGGGAGATAGCCGGTACCGTCGAACTCGGGATTACTGAGGAGACTACCTATCTGCTCACTAAGTATGGAGAGGAATATCTCCTTTTTGCAGAGCCACAGTTTGAATATTTTTGTAAACATCTTACAAACGGGCAGCCTGAACCGAAACCTATTAAGGAAATCAAAGCGGCTGAACTCGCGCAATACACTGTGGCACATCCGCTCTTTCCATCGAAAGGAGTTGAAGATTACGCGCATCCCTGAAACGCTGATTGCAGAAACTCCTAACGAATCAACGTCTTTCTTAAAATCCGGCGTTATACCTCTAAATCCGGCGCATCATCAATCCAGTTACGATATCGCACAAGCCTTAAATATAAATGCAGCACCTATTTTCGATGAAACGGGAAGGTTCACTGAAGAAGCCGGGCAATTGTGTGGTTTATACCTGTTTGATGCAGAAAAGTTTATTGTCCCGCAATTGGAAAAGTACGGGTACCTCCTAAAAACGCATAACGACGAGATACACGAACCGCACTGCCCCCGCTGTAAGGAATTAGCCGTTTTCCGACCATGTTCAAAATGGGTATTCTCCATTTCCAAAAACTACGCTACCAGTCAACTTCTCAGTGCTCAGGAATATTGGGATAATTATGGCGATACCCAGCATAAACATATTAGCGAGGTACGGGATATCGTCCTTAATTTCGGAGAATTGCAAGTTTCGACGCAACGCCAGTGGGGTATGCCACTGCCAATCCTGCTCTGCGACCAGTGTGATGAACCTCTCACTGATAAAAATGCGCTCAATGCAATCCGTAATTCTATCCAGCGCAGCTTTGAATTTTGGTTCGGATTAAGCATTGAAGAACTTTTGCCTACAGATACCCGCTGTTTAAACTGTAATTCAAGCGATTTTCGCAAAGAGGCGACCCTCATTGATAGTTATTTTGCCAATCTGCTTCAAATTATTGACAACTCTGACTTCAAGAAACCACTTGGTGACCACACCAGTGTTATGTTTGTACCACAAACCAGTGTCGGCGATTCTCAATGGACAAAATGGTTAGCTGAAATTAGCGTCATTTCCGCTGCCCTTAGTAGGAGTCGTCCAATTAAAGAAAGTCAACCCTTTAAGCAACTAAAACTTAAGACACTACCGGAAATTGATGGTAAAATTCAGATTGAAGATGCATTTCTTAACAAATATCCAGCTGACGTGGTCCGCCTCGTCGCAATATCGCCAAGTGTTGAAGCAAAACAGATAAACTACAAACAACTTGAGAAACTCGCGGAAGGGTATCTCGGACAATATCAGCAGATGCAGGCACTATTCGATGATATAAGTGAGCACCTCTACCCGTTTCTAATTGATTCCCAAAAAGCAAGCGAAACAGAACAGAAGGATACAGCTGCGGAAGTCTATAAAGATGAGCAGCATTTCACCGCCGCCAACGGACACGATGTTGAGACAGATGTTGAGACAGGTGTCGCCTGCGCACCTACGCATACGAATCTTGAAGTACCAAGAGATACCACTACTGCTGGTAAAACGCTTCCTATGGATTCGCTGGCAATAACCGTTACCGCGCAACTGCTGCAGGAGGTGCAACATGCTTACCAAGCCGAGAATTTCCATGAAATGTGGGCACTGTTAACTAATTTCTGTCAGGACGATCTTCGCTTTTATAGCCGCACAATGGAATCCCGTCCTACGACAACCCTACGTGCAGCACAAAGTATGCTTTCAGAAATAACGACTGTACTTCTACAACGATTCGCACCCTTGACTCCTTTTTTAGCGGAACATTTCTATCGGCTCATTTCTGTAGAGGGCATAACCAGTGACCATAGTATTTTTCAAGGAAACTGGCACTCGCGCTCGCCTCTGATTGGACAAAGTTTGCAGCCTTCCGATGTGAAAAAAGACGAGGCAAAAGCAGAATGGGAGGAGGTCAAGAGGGCATACGATGCAAAATCCTAAGAAAAATGCATGGCAAAATGTTATGCTTTTGATTTACGTAGCGGTTCCGGTGTTGATACTTGATTGGGGCACCAAGTGGTTGGTGCAGAATCATATCACTCAGGGAACAGAGGTAATTCCGGTTATCTCCGGGTTTTTCAACCTTCGGCACGATAGGAATACTGGGGCGGCTTTCGGGGTACTCGCCGGGCATAGGTTCTTGCTTATTCTTATTACCATTGTCGCTTTGGTTTTCATTTTTACCTATTATCTCCGATTCAGAGAGAGCCGTTGGATGCAGGTCTCGTTGGGTTTTTTACTCGGCGGTGCTGTTGGGAATTTCATTGACCGACTCTATTTAGGTGAAGTTATTGATTTTCTTCAGTTCGGTATAGCCAGCGAAGGTCTCTTTTGGCCCACCTTTAACATTGCTGATATTTCTGTCTGTATCGGCGCAGGTATGCTGATTGTTTACCTGTTCCGAAACCGTAATCAAGACCAGCAGGCTTGACTTGCTCCCGTGCTTTCTAATACCAAATTAACCCTATTTGTAGCGCGAGGTCCCTGTGCCTCGCAAGGCTGACTTGATCAAAAGACTTCTAATCAAGTTAATTTGGTATAAATCCACAGATTGGGGGTGTTAATATGAAAACTCAACGCTGTCCTTTATCCAAGGAGGTAGTCCATGTATAAGTTTGGCACCCAATTATTTCTAATTAGCGTAGCGTTCCTTTTTTTTATACAACCGCACGCAAAAGCGCAGTTTCAGGCGGAACCTCCGGCACAGGAAGACCCTGCCGACTACAGTGAAACTGCATTGCGTCGATTTGAGATTGTCACGTTGAGCTCCCTACCATTCACCGCTATTCACAGTTATATCGTCGTTAGAGGGGTAAAAATGTATCGTGCGAATATATTCGCACCTGAATTGACACCGAGAGACTATCGCATGGTTGGGATCGGTGCCGTTTCGTTGTCTCTCTTTATTGGCGTGTGGGATTGGTTACATACGCGCAATGTTGATCGATCGGCACCACGTGTGCCAGAACCCGAAGTGCCACCGATTGAAGAAGAAGTTCCTGTTGAAGGGACTATCGCTCGTCTGTCCAAAACGGATCCACATATAGCAAGATATAGAAATATTTCTCGACAAGACGCAGTAAACAACAGACTGAATAGATGGGCAAATGATCCTGCCGTCGGTTTTGCCATACCTCTTGTTCAAATTCGTTTCTGAGTTATTGATTTAAAATGCGTATTCTTTTTATGGGGACCAGTGAGTTTGCTGTGCCAGCACTCAGAGAACTGGTCACCCACAAATTTAAACTCATTGGCGTTGTCACACAACCCGACCGCCCAAGTGGGCGCGGGAAACGTCTCAATCCACCACCTGTTAAAATCGTCGCGACAGAACACAATTTACCGGTTTACCAACCTGAGAAGGTGAGAAAACCGGATTTCATGCGCGTCCTTGAACGCCTTGCACCAGACGTAATTGTCGTTGCCGCATTCGGTCAACTGCTGCCGCAGACCGTTTTGGATATTCCACCGTGTGGGGACGATCAATTTGCACCCCTCACTGCTCCCGAAGTACCGAGGTGCAGCACCTATTCAATGGGCATTAATTAACGGCGAAACCGAAACAGGCGTGACGCTTATGTTATTAGATGCCGGTGAGGATACAGGCGATATTATTTCTACAAGCTGTATCCCGATCCGAAATGAGGATAACGCTTTCACATTGGCGGAACAGTTAGCACAACTGGGTGCAAACCAACTCGTCCGACTCTGTCTGAGATGCCAGAGGGAGCACCGCCACCGGCGACTCCTCAGAATAATGCCGAAGCAACGCACGCACCACGTCTGACAAAAGAGATCGGACACATTGACTGGAATCAACCCGCGACAACCATTCATAATCTCGTTAGAGGCACAGCGATCTGGCCCGGCGCGTATACCTTCTTTCGGAACAATCTCCGATTGAAGATTGTCAGTTGTCAACCGCTTTCGCAAACCCCCGATGCTCCTTCAGGGACGCTCAAAATAGTTGAAAAACGGAAATTGCTCGTTGCGACAACAGACGGGATGCTCCAACTACTGAAAATTCAGCCAGCAACCAAGAAAGTTATGGAAGCGTCCGATTTTATCAACGGCTACCAATTACAGACAGACGAACAACTTTTGACAGCAACATAACTATGAATAGCCTTATTAATACCCTATTTGCCGTCGTCAAGTTTTCACTCTACCTCTTAATTCTATTCGGTATAATCGGTGTACTAATCATTTTCGTGGTTATTCCGAAATGGGTTCGGACAGAAGAAGTGCTTGTGCCAAACATTACTGGCAAGACCTACTACGAAGCTGTCCGTATCCTTGATAACGAAGGTCTTCGGCCCGCGAAAGAGATTCGCGAGGCGAGTAGTGATGCGCCAAAAGGCGAAATCGTCGCCCAAGATCCAGTGGCGAACTTTAGAATCAAGTCCTATCAACCTGTTACAATCACGGTCAGCATAGGTGCAGAGTTGGCACCTGTCCCCTCTGTCATCGGTAAATCAAAGGATGCCGCTTTTGAAACGCTGACAACTGCAGGCTTTCGTCGAAATCGGGTCGCGGAAGTTCATTCTGAAGCTTACCTACAAGATACTGTCATAGCGCAAACCCCACCAGAGGGCGGTGGTCAACGGCGCGGAAGTTCTATTAACCTCTTAGTGAGCCTAGGTCCCACACCACAATCCATGCAACTCCCGAATTTCCAAGGTCAAACTGCTACGGATGCACTTGTTGCCTTAGAGGCAGCCGGACTAAATGTTGAGACCGAATATAGTTCGCACCCCAAAATCCCTGAAGGCGCAATTATTGCCCACAAACCCGCAGACGGCGTGATAGTAAAAACCGGAGATCTGATCCTCCTCGAAATTAGCGGGCAAGAATCACCTGAAAACATCGGTAGATTGCTACCTTTCGAGCATTCTGTCAGCGAAGAGGGAACGCTGTCGCACCACGTCAAGATTGTTATCATTGATGACTCAGGCCAACGTGTTGTAATTGATCAACGTTACGCACCGGGTGAATTGATTGACCTTGAACGAAAAGGGGTTCGAGTCTTCGGAAAAACGCGGGTGATTGTCTATGAAAATGGCGAAAAACTACCTGAAACAGTTTATAAATAACAGGACTTACGCAATTTACGTTTGTCTCGACTATGTTCCGCAGGGTCCCCGTGCCCTGCGTGCGTTCATGTCTGGATGGGCACGAAAGCCGAAGCCATCCATCCCAACAGTGTTTTGATGCGTAAGTCCTAAATAAGATAAAATAAAACCGGAGGAACATACAAATTCATACGCCTAAGATTGCTCCCTCATTGCTCGCTGCGGACTTCAGCCGCCTTGGTCAAGAGGTCAAACGGGTAGTTGATGCTGGCGCGGATATGCTTCATTTCGATATAATGGACGGCGAGTTTGTACCAAACTTTGGTATCAGTCCACCATTCATTGCCGCTGTTCGTCAAATAACCCAACTTCCGTTTGATGTCCACATTATGGTGATGCACCCACTCCGGTATATCAACGCACTTGCTACAGCTGGCGCAGATTTCATCACATTTCATATCGAAAGTGCTGATGCACCTAAGTGAAGTAATTTCAGCAATCAAAGCGCATGGGCTTAAACCCGGTTTGGCATTTTCACCGAAAACGCCGACCTCTGCAGTCACGCCCTATCTTTCAGACATTGATTTAGTCTTACCGATGAGTGTTGAACCCGGTTTCGGAGGGCAAGCCTTTCAACGAGGGACGCTCGCGAAAATAGCAGAATTGCAACAAATAACTCCAACATTAGAGAGACCACTTGACATCTCGGTTGATGGTGGTGTGACCACGGAAATCGCGCCCCTCGCAATTCATCAAGGGGCAACGATTCTCGTCGCAGGCACCGCTATCTTTCGCAATCAGCAGCCAGCGGCGATCATTGAAAAGCTTCGCACAGGTGTAACCTAAGATGTCGCTTGAGAGATGCACACCTTCTATGTTCCTTCTCCTCAGATTCACACCGATACTGCTACAATTTACCGGCTCGGAGCAACACCATCTCCGCAATGTCCTTCGTCTAACATCCGGGGCAACCATCAGAATTATTGATGGGCAGGGTAATGTCTATACCGCAGAAGTGCTTGATACAGGCACAAATCGGGAACCAAGCGAAGCCCGGATTCTCAGCCATGAATCTCATGCAAGAGTGCTGCCTTCACTTACGCTATTCCAAGGACTTCCCAAGAATGATAAAATGGAGTTGATTCTCCAGAAAACAACTGAAATCGGTCACACAGATTGTGCCAATACACGCAGAGCACGCTTTACAAAAACCGAGCCAAAACCGGTATGAACGATGGCTCCGTGTTATTATCTCTGCCACAAAGCAGTGTAAACGCACGTGGTTACCTGAACTCTGTGATCCACAGACATTTGAGGCATCTCTCACACAACTCGACAAATTTTCACTTCGCCTAATTCTCAACCCACATCTTGCACAGGAGCCGCGTCCACAGCATATTAAGACAGTTTTGGCGGAGGTTTCACAACCGATATCTATCGCACTCTTTGTCGGACCCGAAGGTGGTTTCTCTGATCGAGAAGTCACTACAGCGATCGAAAGTGGATGCATCCCTGTCACACTCGGCATGAACATCTTACGAACGGAAACCGCCGCGATTGTAGCAGTTGCTGTCACCGCCTATGAATACCAACTGTAGAAATAATCTCCGCTCGCAACACATTGCTATCCAACTACTTTGCGAAACTTTCTTTGCTGACAATTGATAACTGAATACCATTCCTCTGATAACTGGAAACTATATATGGCTTACGCAGCAAGCATCTGTTCGCCGAGGTCCCCGTGCCTCGGCGACCTCTATTCTCACGGTTTCGCTTGCAGCATCCGAAGCGTCCGCTTTCTTCCCAAATCGTGTTTGCGTAAGTCCTACTATATTTAGTACTCAGGACTGAAGTTTGGACAATTTATCTCACGTTTGAGTTGAGTCTTCAAAGGTCAGTGTATTTTTCGATGAGTTTTGTCCACTCATGGAACTGGGAAAAACGCGACCCCAACTCAGTCGGTTTCAATCCCGTACCGGTGGCATCTGCGTAGAAACTCCTTGCTCCAGCGGAGCAACATATCTATAGAAAAAGGTCTCAACACCTCCCGCACTCCAGCGGAGTGCTATGTCTGAAAATTGTCCAAAGCGTAGTACTCAGTAAAAGAGAAGTATGATTTACCGCAGCACCTCATAACTGAAAACTGAAAACTGAAAACTGAAAACTTCTAAAATATTTATTGACAAACTTCCACGCTTTTTGTAAAATGCCTGACTATGGATGCAAAAAAATTGACCAAAACCCTCATCGGGTATAATACGGTAAGTCCGCTCAGCAACGTTGAAGTCATGGATTTTCTGACTGAAACCTTGGAAGCCATTGATTGTGAGGTGGAACGGGTTGAATATAGAGATCCAGCGGGTGTGCTGAAGGTAAATCTCATCGGACGCAAAGGGCCTGATACAGGCAAACGTGGGTTGGCACTCCTCGGACACATAGATACTGTTCCTGCTATCGGCTGGTCGATGGATCCGTTTGAAGCACGGATTGCTGATGGGAAGATGTACGGTAGAGGCAGTTGTGATATGAAGGGCAGCGTCGCTTGTATGATTGAGGCTGCATCGCGCTATGCAACGTCAAATTTGGGGGCACCACTCTATGTCGTCATCACGGCTGATGAAGAGGTAGGATACTTTGGGGCGAGTGCTGTCGCGGAGAAATCCGAGATGTTTAAGAAGCACGGTTTTCCGCAATACGGCGTAGTCGGTGAACCGACAGAACTACACGCCGTGTATGCCCACAAAGGGGCTGTCCGTTTTACCGTCACGGCACACGGGCGCGCTGCACACAGTAGTACAGGCGCAGGGGACAACGCGAACCTCAAGTTGATTCCTTTTCTTGCAGAGATGCGAGATATTTACCACGAATTGACAAACGATACCCAGTACTTCAACGACGAATTCACACCACCTTTTACGGATTGGAACATCACTATCAGTGATGGTGAGTGCGCTGCAAATATCACCTCTCCGCTGAGCGTCTGCAGTATTAATTACCGTCCAATGCCCGGTGATGATTCACAGGTATGGATAGATCGCGCTCGCGATTCGGCTGAAAGGCATGGGCTGGTATTTCATCTCTATATTGACGCGCCGCCAGTGCGTACACCCCCTGATGCTGAGATCATCCAAGCAGCACTTAAAATTACCGGAGAGACAGAACCTACAACCGTTGCCTATAGCACCGATGCAGCTGTCTTTTCACAACACATGGAGACCGTTATCATCGGACCGGGGAGCATTCTACAGGCACATACCGTAGATGAGTGGATGGCGTTGGATCAGTTTCCACAAGGAGTCTCAATCTTTAGTCAGTTTGTGGAGCGGTTTTGTGTGGCTTAGGCGCATCGAAAAAAACAGCATCAGGTTTCACCCATTCCGTTTCACCATCTGCCCACACTTCGCGCTTCCAGATGGGGACAATCTGCTTGAGGCGGTCCATCGCATATTTACACGCTTCAAATCCGTCTTTACGATGCGGTGACGCGACTGCTACTGCCACACTCACCTCGCCAATCTCTAACTTCCCAACGCGATGAACCATCGCAACGCGATCAAGTCCCCATTTCTCCGAGATTTCCTGCGCAATTTCCGCCATCTTCTTCTCTGCCATTGGCGGATATGCTTCATATTCAAGGCATCTTACCACTCTGCCATCGGTGTTGTTCCGAACTGTACCGAAGAAAAGTACCACCGCGCCAGCATCCGGTCCCTCCACTGCTTCGCGCACTTCTGCACCTGTGATGACTTCGGTGGTTATCTTAAACATCGCAACCTCCCGTTACAGGCGGAATCAGGGCGACCTCATCTCCCTCTGCGAGTTCGGTATTTTCCGTGGCGTATTCCCAATTGACAGACATTTGCATCACTTCATAGAACTCAGCAATTTCGGGCCATTCTTCTTCAAGCCGTTTTAAAATCGTTTGGACGGTAGCACCTTCCGGAAGGTCCATCTCTTCTTCAGATCTATCCAGCATTTCGTGGCATACGGCAAAGTATTTAACTGTAACGTTCATAAGGCTTCCTCTTCAACAGAATTTTAGTGGTTAACAGCATCCTAACTGCCCTAAAAGTATAACACAAAATTGATTGTAAAGCAATCTTCATTAGAAAAGAGGCAGAACCATTCAGTTCGTCTTTAAAGTTGATTTTCCGCGCAAGACCTCTTCCCTGTAGGAGCGAACTCCCGGTCGCGACTTCACTGACTGCTAACGAAAACCAACAGCTGATGCTTGACAACCGACAACTGATAACTGAAAACTATTCCTCTGAAAACTAAAATTAAGTTGATTTTTATCGTAGATTCTGCTAAAATAACAAAAGCGTGTGAATGGCATTCACCTATTTTGGACGGAACGCAGGAGGTAAACTATGAAACCGAAAGCTATTTATTATTTCATCATCATGCTGCTCATCACCGGCATGATGGCTGGGGCGACTAGACGATGATTTGTGACACTTCAGAAAATCTACGCCAAAGACAGAAAACCAACCACTTCGGCTTCGCAACCCACGGAGAGGCCAACAAAGTGTTGATAAGAAACATGACTTGACGACTGAAGAGAAGACTAACTGGCAATTCGTGAGCTTTATGGGGTATACGCAACCGCACACGGCGACAAAGATGTTGATACGCTCGTCAGACGTTTGGTTCAAAAGCGAAAAAGACAACGTTTTTACCGCCTGGACCTTCTGGGCTGGCACTTTTGAAAGAAATAACGGATGCTGGGTGTGTGGAAGCAGTAGTGTAACGGCGGCGTGGGAGGGCATTTTCCGACTCCGCGCAGGAGATGTGACGGTTGACATCACCTACATCGCTATTGATAGTAGAGGCAAAGAAGCCGTTTTGCGGGGTGCATATAATTGGGGCAATCAGCGGGGCGATCTGATCTCCGCACTTGAAAAGGATGGGAGTGACTGGAAAATCCGCGCAATTGATTACACCGGAGGAAACAACGGGAAGCAGGTCAAAGACCTAAATGAACCTGCCTATACTTTCGGAGAGATTGCCGAAGAATAAGGTTAACAGTAAGTTTTCGCTTGTAAGCTTCGCGAAAAAATGGACAAACTCATTCTCAAAGGCATCCGATTCCATGGCCACCACGGCGTTCCTGAAGCGGAGCGACAGGTTGGTGGCCATTATGAAGTCGATGCAACTTTACGGTGTGCGCTTGCCAATTCCGGCAATACCGACGCACTCGCAGACACAGTCAATTACGCCGAAGTCGTTGCACGCATCGTTGAGATCGGCACACAGCAGTCGTTCCAACTCATTGAAGCACTCGCTGAGAACATCGCCTCAGTCATTTTAGAGCAATTCGCGGTAGATGAGGTACATCTCACCGTCAAAAAGTTAAATCCTCCCATAGAGCAACCGATTGACTATTTCGCTGTTGAAATTTTCCGCAATGCATAAATTCTCTACTATCATCTGTTTCCTCTTGATAACAACCACTATTGCACATGCTGGTGGCGAAAAAGAGGCACTATTTCCCGATCTAACCTCTGGACTTCATCTCTACCGTTACAATTGGGATATCGAAACATGTGTGCTTTACGTCGCCGAGATGTCACGCAATGAACCGACACTACACTTTGAGGTCGCACTCGCAAACGCGCAAGTTTTAGGGAAAGAGACCGTCCGTTCTATGGCGAACCGTCGTAACCAACGCGGTGATCGGCGTGTCCTTGTCGCAGTTAACGGCGGTTTCGGAGTCCTCGGAGATATGCGCGGCTATGGTGGCGTGTTAGAGAACTTACATATCCAAGACGGAGAGTTGATCACACAACCGACGGATACCGAGGCATGCTTCGGTGTAACCGAGTCCGGCGAATTCTTAAGCTCCCCAGTGCAAATGGAAGCCAGCATTCAGATAGGCACGCACACACTGCCGCTCGGATGCATCAATCAACGTAGGCTCGATGGGTGTCAGGTAACGCTTTACACGCCACGGCTCGGTGAATCTACACATACCAACCGCCGTCGAGGTATAGAGGCGATAATTAGTGGTATCACACTTCCACTAACACCTAATTATGTCCACCTCTATCGTGTAGAACAGGTTTCACGCGATGGAAACAACGTAATCCCCAGAGACGGGGCTATCCTCTGGATTAACGCACGACTGAAAGACCCAGCCGTGTCTCAATTCAGTGCTGGCGCGAGCGGTACGCTCAAACTCACCCTCTCGCCGCCCGAATGGAATCAAGTCCAACATGCTATCGGCGGACGACTCCGACTCCTCAAGGACGGTAAGATAAATCAGACGCTTGTAGAGATGCACAACGCCGAAAAGCGGCATACACCGGGCAAACGAGCATCGGTACTAAATCTAAGTCATGAACCCCGAACCGCGCTCGGATACAATGCGGATAAACTCTTTCTGGTAGTCGCCGATGGACGGCAACCGAAGTATAGCACCGGTCTAACGCTCTACGAACTCGCCAACATTCTCATCGAACTCGGCGCAACCGAAGCGATCAATCTTGACGGCGGTTCCTCCAGCACCTTTATCGCTAACGACACCCTCATCAACAAACCGTCCGGACAACAGGAACGGGATGTTTTGAATGCTGTCTTTATTACAGCAGACGTGCCGTAGTCCGCGGCTCTTCTGTAGGAGGGACCTCCCGGTCGCGATAAATTCTTCTGTAGGAGCGATCTCCTGGTCGCGATAAACAATCTCAGAGGCTTATTTTGATGATTTATTTTGGGTAATTAACGGATTGGCGATATTTCTATCACTGCTATTTTGCCATGTTTTAGTTGTCAATGCAGCGAATACTCCAAAACTGCTGAAGGCAATCCCGCTTTCCCAAACCGCGATTCACTGCAGTTTGATGGGCAATTGCAAGCAGAAACCGCGGAAGACTTAGCGACCTATCAAATTACACCGAGATGTCCAACTCGAATACGCTTTACTGGATCAACGGTTGAATCGTGTTCTCTTACTGACCTCACCGTTAGAAATAGAAAAAACCTACCATCTCACGCTGCCAAATATTCAGACAGGGATAGTTGTTACCCTGCCACCCGTAAACGAGATAACCTTCGGCGCGGGCGACTCAGTTACCTTCTCCGGTGGTCTACAAGATACCACACTACATATCAATAAAGATCGGAAGACCCGAAACAACAACGCCGGTGCCGAACCGACTCTCTTATGTGATCCGACCGGAAGTGTATTTTTCGTCGCCTTTGACCTATTTGATGCGTTTGAAGATATGGGGATCCGAGAACCGACACAGGTCTTAGAAGCAACGATAACCCTGCATGTCCAGCAGTCTGAACCAGATGCTGCACAGACCGTACTTTTCCGCCGTGTCCTGCTCCCGTGGAAAGAAGGCAGAGGCACATCAGATCGTGCAGAAGATAACGAACTCACTTATAACAGTGCATTGCATCGCAACCTTCCGTGGAATAAGCGTCCCGCGCAAGCCATGTTAGCAGGCATAGACGGCGATAACGAAAGCGATTACAACGGTTCCGAGGATGTCGCCCACCGCATTGATGGCACAAGCGAAATTCAAGGCGCAGGAAAGCATTATACGATTAAAAGCGAACTGCTTACCGAGGCTGTCCGATTTTGGGTAGCGAACCCCGATTACAACTATGGTTATCTTTTCGCCTTACAAGATAGCAACGTGCCTATCATTTTCACCTCAAAAGAAGCAACTGACGAAAACCTACGTCCAACCTTAACAATCCGCTACCAGACACAATCGGGAGAGGAAACCACCACGCCACGCTAAGTTTTTTATTTTCGCTGGCACGGTTTGTTCCGTTGCTGATATATTGGGATTAGGTATTCTACCACGTCCAATCCAAAATTGCCCCGATCATATCAAAATCGCGTACCTCCAAAGACCCTCCTGTGAAAGAACACACCGTAACACCCAAGCACAATCAATAATTGGAAAATATTCACGCAATCCATCCAAAAAGCGACTGTATTTAATCACGCAGTTTTTGCCGAGTTATGCAATATTTGCAGGATAAAAACAGTTTTTTTTGCATGCTGGCAAGAAGGAGAAATTGCAAACAGTTTTCTGTTTTGTCAGCAAGACAGTTTTTTAAAAAATACGAACGCTGACTCACATTTTGATGAACCCAGTATGTAAGTATGTTTTAACGCGTCGTTGGGCAAAATATACTTGGGATTTTCGCTGTTTTCCACAAATATTGCGTCTCATTAAGAGAATTGGCACAAAATTTGCTATAACATCACAATAAGACTCAGTTTATTTGAATAGAAATAGAGTCTTTATTGGAGTATGTGTAACTTTCTGATAAATGTATTTCTTGCATTGATAGCGTGTAATTATCGAGCGAGAAATTCCATTGGAGAGACGGAAGCAAAAACAAAAGGTTTCCGAACTCTAGGTTCTTATGTACTACAGTACTAAGTGAGTGTTACGCAAATTTGGAAGGTGTACTTCTAAAGTGCCTTCCGGGAAAGTTTACTGACGGATTGTGTAGTCTATCGTGGTGGCAGGCCTCTATGCCTACCTGATTTTATTGGTTGATTGTAGGGAGAGTCTCATTATACCGCTGTTCTGGACAAAAACGGACATTTGTTTGTACTATCGTGTCCGAAGAAGCGCGCATACGCCGAGATACAATTCCCTTACGGATGTCAAAATCTCTTGAGTCTATAATTGGAAAGGAATTACAATATGTATAAAGCCCTATTAAAAACTGTTATCTTGTTGGGAAGTTTTTTCTGTTTGGGTTTGAGTTTGCTCCAGGCGGAAGGGACTGTTGAAAAGAAAACTGATACAACTATTGGGGAACTAGGAAGATTTCGTGTCAGAGTCGGACAAGGCTTCTTTATCCGCGACTTGCGCGACGAAGAAAGTCAGGGTGACTTCACTCCCGGAAGTGGTGCCTTAGTTCATGTGTTTCATCCAAAAGTAAATTTCCTCGGGTTGAGTGCGGGATTGGGACTCAATGGATCGGATGTAATTAACAACTTGCAGGTTGGGTTAGGAGCGAGTCTCCTTTTGCATACAGCAGAAGAAGAAGTGTTCGCGCTTACTTTTGGGAGACTTTTAGGGAAGGTGGAGCGTCCAGGAGATGACTCCTCCCCGAACATGGTCTATAAAGACAGTTGGTTTGGGGCAGTAACATACACTATTAAATTCTCCAAATTGCTTAACATTACACAGGGCAGTGATTCCACTGAAGTAGCAGCTGGTGCTGAAGGCGAAATCAACACTGAAGTGGCAACTGATTCTGAAGGCGAAACTAACGCTGAAGTGGAGACCGATACTGAAGAAAAACCTCTCAGCGATTAACGAAGAAGGTTTGTATCGGTAAACCTTACGTGAGGATAATTAGTTCTTATGAGTTTTGAGAATTTCATCACTGAGTTGAAGCTTAAGTATTTTAGTTATACGGAATTGCTTGTTTCAACCGAAAAACCTAAAAATACAGAACCTCCACCGGAAATGTGGGGCAATATCGTACCAACAATCTTAATCTTGGACGAGTTACGAGATTGTTTAGGTATCCCAATTCACGTGAAGTCTGTATATAGGGCACCAGCGTACAACGCGACAATCCAGAATGCCGCGGAACGGAGTTTGCATCAAGCGTTCGCGGCAGTTGATATTAAGGTACCTGCTCTCGCTAATAAAGGAGTATCACTAAAAACGGTTTATGAGTTACTGAAACTGTGGCAGGATCGATGGTTTGAATCGCCTGGCCGTGTTGACACTAAGCAGTTTACGGTAGAAGCAGGTAAGATCCCCCATGAAGATCTGAATATCCGTGAAAATAACGGTGTTCACGAGTTTCAGTTTAAAGGGTATATCGGCTATTATGGAACTTATACCATATTAACGCGACTATTCTTGTGTATATTTTTTAGATATGTTATTGTGAAGAGATGAAAAAGCAAAAACATGAGGTTTTCCCCCACTTTTCAGTAGAAGTTGTTAAACAAAGGTATCTTGAATGTGAATGTCTTCGGGAACGGACGCACTGGCATATTATTTGGCTCCTTGCGGATACCAGAGATTCACGCACCCCCCGGCAAGTCGCTGAGATTGTAGGATGCACGCCGGACTGGGTTCGCAAGTTGCTCAAACGCTATAATGCTGAAGGCGAAGCCGCTCTGCGAGATAAACGCAAAAATAATACAGGCGTGCGTTTTTTGGATGAAACACAGCAAGCCGCCCTTGCAGCTGCCCTTTCTGCGCCTCCTGGTGATGGGGGTCTTTGGACGGGTCCGAAAGTGGCTGCGTGGATATCCGAGACGCTCCAGCGTCGTGTCAGTGACGTGTCAGGTTGGAAATATCTCAAACGTCTCGGTTATACTTTACAAACACCTCGTCCGCAACATCAGGCAGCCGCAACACCCGAGGCGCAGCAAACATTTAAAAAAAAACTCAAGGAGCGGGTAGCTACGCTTGAAAGTCAGCACCCAGAGAAACCGGTAGAGATCTGGGCAGAAGACGAGACGCGCTTGGGATTATTGCCGGTTCATCGGCGTGTCTGGGCGAAGCGAGGTGAAAGACCGATAGCCCCCGTGTGTCCGGCATATAAGTGGCTTTATGGTTTCGGTTTTGTCCGTCCACAGACAGGTGAGACCTATTCGCTGCTGATGCCGAGTGTGAGTGTCGAAGTCATGAACCTTGCCTTGGCAGAGTTTGCGCGTGATGTGAACCCGGAAGGCAAGAAACAGATAATCCTTTTGTTAGATCGTGCCGGTTTTCACACGGGTAAGGATTTAGAAGTCCCAGAAGGGATTGAGTTATTTTATTTGCCCCCGTACACACCAGAACTTCAACCTGCCGAACGGCTCTGGCCTTTGTTGCGAGAGGTGGTTGTGAATAAAGTTTTTACAACGCTCTCAGCACTTGAAGAAGCCGTTGTGAAAAGGTGTCAATGGTTCTCTGAAAACACAAAGAAGGTGCAGGCACATGTCGGTTTTCAGTGGATTTGCAAAATGGAAAAATAATACAAATCACGTTAATTTGGTATTATATCCACATTGACACTCGTGGCATTAACGATACAAAAGATTAGTGATTTATCAACTTTCAAATTGTGGGTAAAATTGTTTAGATCGCGATCCCGTTGCTCGCGGCAGTGCTTCTTCTTGTAGGAGCGACCTCCGGGGCACGACACACGTGTCGCAAAATTTAGAATATCTTAGATTTGCAGTGGAGTGCCGATAATGTTCGGTACACCCACTGCAAGCGACATCTGAAAGAATATCCGATCACACATGTTGGTGTTTGTAGGAGTGCGTTGTGCTCGCGATATCTCACACATACTTCCGCAAATGCACCAAAGTCCGCTCCACCGCGCCCAAATTCTCTTCAATCAAACTGTTTCCCACTGCTGCCTGCTGTCGTTCGCGCACTCGCGTCGTCTAACCATATTGTAATAGCATCTGCCAACTCCTGCACAGTCCGAACCAGTTTCGCTCCACCCCGATCCACCAGTAAAGACGCTTCGTGTGCGTTTTGGATCGTCGGACCGAAGATAACAGGTTTCGCCATCGCAGCGGGTTCCATGACATTGTGAACGCTTCCTCGAAAACTCCCACCGACAAACGCTATATCTGCCAACCTATATAACTTCGCAAGAAGTCCCACGCTGTCAACGATGAGGACATCCACTGCCGACAAATCTACCTCAGCCGTGAGTTCAGAAAAGCAGAGATGTGCCAATTTCTCTCGATCCAGATGTCCACGAATTTCCTTTATCCCTTCAGGTGTCGGTTCGTGAGGAACCAGAATCAGATGTGGGTAGTCACCGGGCATATTTTGGCGCAACAATTGATAAGCAGGCAGCAAGACCTTCTCATCCTCCGTATAGGTGCTACCAGCGATAAGAATTGGGCGTTTTAGGGTTGCCTGTCCGGGGAAAAATTCCGTGTCAGGTTCAACAGAAACTGCCCGTCGGTAAACCTGTTCATAGCGCGTATCCCCTGTAACAACAATCTCATGTGTTGGTGAGCAGAGTTCTTGAAAGCGCGCCGCATCCGCTTCCGAAATAGCACAATGCACGCGGATGTGCCGATGCACACTCCGAAAAAACGGCTTCGCAAAACGCGACAACCGTTTCGATGCAGCGTGTAGCGTTCCAGCGACCACGATAATCGGAATACCCTGTTTAGAGGTTTTCCAAACGAGATTGGCCAAATGTCGAATTTGGAAAAAACTATTAACGAAGGTTCAATCAGTTGTATCAAGCGTTCAGCGTTACGCAGTGTGTCTAACGGGAGATAGACAGCAGCATCAGCATAAGGGTAAGATTGGGCATTCGGTGCAACAGAGGGTGAAAAGAAGGTTAAGACAATTCGGGTTTCAGCATAGATCGCTTCAATGAGCGGTTTCGCCTGCTCAAATTCGCCGACAGAGGTAAAGTGAAACCATGCTGTTTTTTCTAAATGTCGAGCGGTCTGGAGTCGGTTTGCCAGTTCCGCAAATACCCGCTTCCGTCCTTTGATGCCTTCTCGGATTTTAGGGTTGCAGCACCGCGCGCAATGAAAGACTACAAACATCGCTGGCACTGCGAAGGCGTTGTAGGCAAATTTCCAAAACATAGTGGACCATAGGGGAAGAAAATGAGAAAAATGGAAGGATAGAAAAGGAAATTAATCCCTCAATTTTTCAACCTTCCATTCTGAAGGATAGGTGCTTACAATACGTCTAAGATTTTCTTTTTGAGTGCATCTTTGGGCATCGCGCCGACAATTTGTCCCGCAACTTTGCCGTCTTTAAACACAAGCAGTGTAGGGATACTCCGAACGCCGTACTGCATCGCGGTTTGACGATTGTCATCAACATTAACTTTTCCAACTTTGAAAGTCTCCGAATTTTCCTCGGCGAGTTCTTCCAAAATCGGGGCAATCATTTTGCACGGACCACACCACTCCGCCCAAAAGTCAACAACAATCGGTGTATCCGATGTAAGCACCATTCCTTCAAATGTATCGTCACTAATTTCAAACGTATTCGCAGCCATGATAGCTCCTTTTGTTTAGAATCTAATAGGCAAACTGCCTCTGTATAATATTCTGCTTGAGCAATTGCTTTTATGAGTGCATCAAGACATTAATATGATACCCTATTTTAAGAAAAATTGCCAATCATTTTTTCATCTTCACAGAAACAATATTTTCCATAGTTTTTCTCTTGATAAAAAATGTGAAATATGATATATTGATAGAAATTGAGAAATAACCAATTGTCTAACCAACGCGATAACCTTAATCTGAACTTACAATTGTAAGGAGGCACCGCATGCCTGATAAAGAGAAAAAAAAGGGAACGAACATCTCGCGCCGGAGCTTCTTAAAAGGCGTAGGCACCGGCACCGTTGCCGCAACCGTCGCCCCAAGCGTCTTAATCGGTAGCGAGAAAACCGCTGATGCCCAACAAGTAGGCGACGCTGTTGAGAGCGCAACAATTCAACTCAATATCAACGGGGAACCGTATCAAGTTGAAGTTGAAGCACGCACAACCCTCTTGACCGTTTTACGCGACGGAAGTGATACCAGCGGGAACAATGTTGACCTAACCGGTGCCAAACTCATTTGTGACCGCGGTGAATGTGGCGGTTGTACCGTCATGGTAGATGGGAAAACGGTCTACGCCTGCATGATGCTTGCAATGGATGCCCAAGACAAGCAAATAACGACTGTTGAAGGGATAGCCGATGGCGACGATCTGCACCCTGTCCAGGAAGCATTCATCCAGCACGACGCGCTCATGTGCGGATTCTGCACACCCGGTTTCATCGTCTCATCTACAGCACTGTTGAGTGAAAACACAAAACCGACGCTTGAAGAAATTAAAGTCGGTTTGTCCGGCAACACGTGTCGCTGTGGGCACCTATCCGTTCATCTTGATGCTGTCAAGACTGCATCCAAGAAGATGTAATTCCTATTGCATTACTTGAAAGCAGTCTCGGCTTGCGAGACGCAAAAGTCTACCGTTCTATTCGAGCGGTCGTCTATAGGAGGAAGACACATGGCTCATGGGGAGAAGCAAGTGAATCTCGTCTCATCGGCAACGGATACCCCGTTTGTCAGGTAGGGATAAAGTCACTGGAACAGCGAAGTATTACCTTTGATACAATCGACCGGGGATACTTTACGGACGTATCTTACGTTCTGAAGTCGCACACGCGAAACGTTGTAGTGTAGATCCTGAGCGAAGCGGACACACTACCCGGTGTCAAAGCAGTCATACAAATTGTTGAAGTTGGAAAGAAATTCGTTACCAAGCCAAGAGATCGCCGGCAGTCGCAGCGGAAACCGACGATATCGCTAAAGACGGCAATCCGACTTATTCGTGTCGATCTGGAAGAACTACCTTATGTCCGTCACAGAAGAGAAGCGATGCAGAAGGTGCACCGCAACAATCCGAGACGATTGGACAGGTAATCAGAGCGATCCTAACGTCAGAGAGGCAGGCGACCTTGAAGGCGGATTTGCCCAAGCCGCTGTTGATGTGGAGGCTACTATCAACGCACACTGTCCAAACCCAGTATGTTTGGAAACACACGGGGCATGTTGCTGAATGGGAAGATGAGCAGAACCTGAACAGTCTGGGCATCTACACAGGGCGTTTTGGAGTTCGCACAACGATTTGGCGGGATCCTTTAATATACCCGCAAACCACGTAGAGTCATCACAGAACACATGGGCGGTGGTTTCGGTAGCAAATTCGGACCCGGTGTGTGGAAGGCGCACTGACGCTGACTTGGCACGTATAACAGGTAGACCTGTCAAGTGATGCTCACTCGGAAGGCGGAGCACTCGTTGCTGGTAACCGTCCGTCGATGACACAGCATGTGCGCGCAGGCGCAACGGGCGACGAGGCTCATCGCTTACGATATGAAGGGCCGGCACAGGTGGTATCTCAAGCGGTGCAGTTTCCAAGACCTTACGTCTAGATGTGCCAAATCTGCGTACGGAGAGGGTGAATGTCGCTGTTAAACGTCGGCAAACAACGCGCGATGCGTGCGCCTGGGCAACCCACAAGGCGCGTTGCCATGGATTCATGTCGATGGACATGAGCTCGCCGAAAAACTCGGAATGAACCCGCTGGAGTCCGCCGTATCAACGACTCTCGAGTGAGGTGCGCCAAGCACAATATACCTCGGGCGCAAGAGAAATCGGATGGCACCGCTCGTAAACAATGTACCCGGCTCGGGCAAAGGCGTGAAAAAGCGTCGTGGCATCGGTGTCGAAGCGGTCAATGGGGCGGTGGTGGTGGACCCGGCCACACAAGCAGTGTACACCATCAATTCGGACATGGCAACTGTTGAAGCAGTCACCGGAACACAAGACATCGGGCACCGGTATCCGAACCGCGATCGCATTATGTTGCTGAGGAATTCGACTTGCGCTGATGATATTATGGTAAAGGTTGGCGATAGTGGACACCAGGGTTGCCTTCTGGCGGGTAGTGGTGGTAGGTCAGGACAACGGCACTCCGTCGCACCGGTTATCAAAACCGCTGCAGGCGGCAGCAAAAACAAAAATTGTTTGAGCGCATTGCACCACAGCTGAATGCACTGTCGAAGATACTACGCGTCGGCAACCGCACTATTTATGTCGTTTCTGATAGAACGAAAACAATTAAGTGGGAACTCGCAACTGGACAACTCGGTATGGAAAGCATCAGCGAAAAGTGGAAATTGGGATGAAGAACTCCGTCAAGGCGGAGTCGCAGGCACACAGTTCGCTGAAGTTGAAGTTGATACGAAATCGGTGAAGTCAGAGTATCAAAATTGTCGCCGTCAAGTTGTGGATTGGCTATTAACCGTTTGACAACGGGAGAGTCAGATAATGGCGGTGTTGTTATCATGGGATTGGGCCAAGCACTCCTGAAGAACGCTTCATGGACGCGCTAACCGGGCGGATGCTCAACGCAACCTTGAGGATTACAAAGTTCCGGAACTTTTGAGATTCCTGAGATTAAATCCATCGTTTTCGATACGCACCGGAAGGTTACAGGGATCGGTGAACCACCATGTATTCCGACACCCGGAGCAATCGCGAACGCCGTTCACAACGCTATTGGCGTTCGGATTCGGGAATTGCCCATCACACCCGATAAGATTCTCACCGCGCTTGCCGAGAAGAAGGCATAAGGAGGTAAGCAATGGAAAATTTAGTTACGTCAACGCCACCAGTCTCGAACAGGTACCGCACTACTGAGCGACAGTGGGTGGGGCGAAGTGACAAAGTGATGCTTAGCGCCGGCTGGTAGCGATCTGCTCGCGGAGCTTAAGGAGTACGTTGAGACACCAAAGACGCTCGTTAATCTCAAGACGTTGCCCGGACTATGGATGACATCACGGCGGACGCATCAGGTTAGCAATCGGCGCGTTAGCCACCGTGCGGACATCGCAGACATCCGACCATTTCCAGCATCATTACACCGTCTTGGCACAAGCCGCGGGGTCTGTTGCTACACCGCAGATCCGGAACGTCGGGACACTCGGCGGAAATCTCTGCCAACGTCCACGATGCTGGTATTATCGCGATGAGAGCACCAATTGTCTGAAAAAAGGTGGAGACATCTGTTATGCAGTGGATGGCTTGAGCAAATATCACGCAATCCTCGGCGGGGACCCTGTTTACATTGTGCATCCTTCGGACCTCGCACCAGCACTTATTGCGCTTGGCGCATCGGTCAAAATCGTTGGCCCCGAGGGTGAGAAAACGATGTCGCTTGAGGATTTCTTTACCTTACCCGCAGCGAATCCGTTCCGTGAAAACGTGCTTGAACCCAATGAAATTGTCGTTGAAGTCCAGGTTCCGCCTGCTAAACCCAATACCAAGAGTTTCTATCTCAAAGCACGCGAGAAAGGTGCCCCAGACTTCGCATTAGCAAGTGTGGCAGGTGTCTTTGAGATGGATGGAAAAACTTGTAAATCTGCCAGTGTTGTTCTGGTGGTGTCGCGCCTGCGCCGTGGCGTTCTAAGAAGCAGAAGCCGCACTTACCGGCAAGATGGTTGATGACAAGGTCAGCAAACAGGCAGGAGCGGATGCTGTCAAGGATGCACAACCCTTGAACGACAACGCCTATAAGGTAACTTTAACACAGAACCTCATCAGCCGCGCCGCTATGATGGCCGCAAGCTAAAGGAGCATCAATATGTTAGAAGGAAAAGCACTTCCGATCTTTAATCGTCCGATATGCCAGAACCTCCGGACGAAGGCGATCTACATTCCGGGCGGCAATTTGCAGAACCTTGTTGAAAACAACCAGGTTCGCACTATTGGTGCAACTGCACCATGCAAGTCGTAGGACCCGACGATCAGTTTGTGTCGCCAGACGCTTGCAAGCAGTCCCGCAACTGTTTTGATCCCGTTGGCGGAAAGCCGGTGGTATAATCCACAACCCATGAAGAAGGGCAGTCAACACGCCATACTGACTGCCCTTTGACATAGATGGGAATATGCGATTATCCGAAATGGATGGAAGATGGGGACAACCGATTTTCGAAGCGAAAGGGTGCCTCCACCCGTTACCGGAAGGGGCGGATAAAATCGGAGAGAAGACCCAGTCTTTAAAAATATGCTTCTGAAATCTTTGATGCAATGGATACATGTCGGATCCGTCGTCCTGATGATAGGAGGGTTCTTTTTCTTTCGCGTTGTTCTTCTCCCGATTGCTAACCGTTCCGCTGAACCCTGCAGCGTTGATCGCATCAGCTCTGCGACGTTTCAGTAGTGTTGTTTGGACAGCCTTGTTAACATCCTCTATCCGGATTGTATACTTTATTAGTTTTTTCGCACCGCACGCCGCCGATGCCGCTATTGACCCCGTTGTTTCAGATTACTCGCTTTACATCTTCGTCTTAGGTATCAAACTCTTCATCGTCTTTCTAATATTTACCTTAGCAATTGCCCTAACATTCCCGTATCCGGTATTTGGCGTGTATCAAAAGAAACCGGCACCGTGGCTCAACCTCACAGTAATTTTAGGATTGATAGTTATCTTCTTATCTGCATATTTACGCCGATTGGGATAGCGTACTACTAAAGTTTAAAAATATGTAGTATCTATAGTAAAACCGCGAAAATATGTTTACACTTTAAGAACAACAATCCGCGAATACACTCACTCGCTGCGAGGTTTCCTACCTCGCCAATGAAGGTATTGTGATTTTACTATATATCATTGATACTTCATCAACGATACAGTTGGGAGGAAAAAATGGCAGTTTTGAGCTCCGAAGATCGCGCTTTTAGTGATGAAAACGGCTATGTCCGTATCCACGACGCAGCAGGGCTGAGAGTTTAATACAAAACTGCTGCACACCAGACAGTTGGGACTTTCTTGAATGGTATGCTAACGATTCAGAGAGTTGTACCCGTACCGGATACCCCGCGCTACCGTGAGGCCCGGGGCGGAACCGCCTACCCAACCCTCCTCGCATATCATGTGTGAAATAGACTACCAGCACCAAACTTGTGGCACTCGTCAATTTCAGCGCGTCCATCAGCGCTTTCGCGAATTTGGCAGGATGAGAAATTATGGGTGAGTTTCGATCGCGCTAGCAAGAGTCCACCCCAGTGTCCCGAGTGTTAAATTGGGTTGAACGCGCGGCAGAGACGTAGGACTGCCACTGCGGACATGTCTCGGGTGGATGTCCCTGTCCGATTCCTAGGTGCAGTGTCTCTATCATTACAGATACTGCAGCCAACCAAGGCGCGTTCACTTGTGTGCCAGGCTTCCATAATAAGATTGATGAATGGATAAAAGCCTTCCACCCGATTCCGATCCGAGGCATCAAGATTTGGGGCACTCGGCGCAGTTCCTGTCCCGGGTAAAGCAGGGGATCTTGTCATTGGCACAGTGCATGCCACACAGTGCTGGCATTAATACTGCCAACGCACCACGGTGTCGCACAATACATCACTATGTCACCGACAGGTGAGGCAAATCCCGAAGCACGCGAGCGACGCATCAATGCGTGGAAAGAACGCATGGCAGGTTTTGGCGGTGAACGTGCGGAAAAAGAACATGAATCAGGCGCAACCGCCTACCTCACCGAACTTGGAAAAAAATTACTGGGGCTTGAGACGTGGGGATGAACCCACAACTCAATAGACTTGTCCGCTATTACCTCCGGTGGTGTCCAATCACTGATGGAAAAAGACTACTCTTGAACCTAACCAGAGATTGGATTACACCGGAAAACCCGATTGCTACGTTTGAAACCAAGTATCAATTCCGACTGAAAGCCAACTTGGTAAACCCGGAGCATCAATATCTCTATTTTACGGCACTCACGACGAAAGATATATCGTTACCAAACTCCTAAAAATAATCAAACCGGGGGGCATCTGTTAGGACATCGGCGCGAACATCGGGTTCTATACTTGCCTTCTCGCTTCGCTGGTTGAGGCCAAAGGGGGCAGTCGTAGCATTTGAACCCGCGTCGCGTACCTGTGGTTACCATCCATGAAAAATGTCTCTCTAAACCAATTCACAAACGTGTACTGTGGTCAACAAGGGGCTCGGCAACACACAAGAACAGCGGCATCTCCACTATCCGAGGCAGGACTTGCCGAGGGGACTGCTTCATTAAAATATATCTGATGGACGAACAGCATCAGAACGCGTAACGCTTGACACGATTGACAACCTCATCCGCGAACTACCGACTCCCGATTTTTATCAAGATTGATGTAGAGGGGTATCAGGTGGAAGTATTGCGAGGCGGTGAGTACTGCTTAAAAACGCACGCGCCCCTCGTGATGGCGGAGCTCAAAGATGTCGGTGAAACCAATCGTACCATTTTCGGCGAAATTGAAGATTACGTTGCAGATTTAGGATATCAGTTATATGAGATCAAGAACATTCAATCCAACGATGTAAAAGGCTCTCTGACACAACCCAAAGGAATTTTTTCCTTGTCAAAGAGGCATTCGCGTGCCTTTTTCCAGAATTTTACCGTGGTTGAAATAGGCTAAAGCCTCTTTTCTATAAACTAACCTAAGTTGCCACCTTCCTTATATAAGGTGAGTAAGAATTGTAAGTTCAAAGCATCGTAGAATACCAGAATTAGCGAAATTCTTTGTATTTTCGATCAAAACCGGTGTATACATGTCTAAAGTCTTGTAAGTAACAACTTAGGTAAACTACGCTAACGTTTTGCGGATGGCATTCGCGAAGTTTCGCAGAACGCTTCTAAAGCACGGTCAAATCAGGCAAAAAACATAAGGAGGTTTTTTGTCATGAGATATAGCATCTGTGGTATAGCCTGCAAGTTCCGCTTGCAATTCAAGATTTTCCTGCTAATTGGAATTCTTCTTGGCTGTTCCGTGACAACATGGGCGCAGCATCTGAAGTATTCCTCTATTTTGATGAAGACTACGGTTTTAATGCTGATGGCTGGGGGGATTGGAACTCAACGCAGAAGATTGAAGATGCCGTTATGGCGGAATTGGATGCCGCAAAAATCGGCATCGGTTGTGGGGGAACGCAGACGAGTTCCTCGCCTATATGGAGGAGAATCCAGAAGGTGTTATTGTTTCCCCAATCATAGTTCCCGAAATCGTTTACACGATCGGTATGCAAGATGACAGCCCAATCGAGAACTTCCTCTACGGGGGTGGGGTGCTCATCTATTCAGGGGATACCCCGTTCTATGCTGTTGGAAAGAAGGGCGCACCCGGTCAAAAGATTGTTCCGGGCAATCAAGGCGTAATGGATGTTCTCAACTTTACGGCACAGTACATCACAACCACCGCTGCCGCTGTCAAGCCGACACCGGAAGGTGAGAAAATGATTCCGAGTCTTGAACCCTTTAATCCGAGTCGTCCGGCGCAACTGAAAGTGTTAGAAGCAGAAAATTGTGACCCAATCGAAGTCTATGCTGAAGCCGGTGGCTCAGCTGACCCGGTCCTCTTTGCTTCGCCAGATATGAAAGGCTATTTCGTCCATTTCCACATGGAAACGCTCGGTAATAAGCCAGACGATTATCTTGCACAGGTTGGATTGGAAATCGGCGAGCTCATTACCAATCGGTTTGGCGAATTGTTAGACGTTGAACCTCAAGGAAAGTTAACACACGACGTGGGGTAACCTCAAATCCATTAAGTAAAGTGTCTGTTGATAATGATTCATCGTATTTAGCCACGGATCCGCTTCTCCATCTTCGGAAACTGCAGGTCCGTGGCTAATATTAACAGGCCAGATTCATGTATAGCACTTGCGCAGTTGGTTCACAAGTCCCCTGATAAGGGGCGGGGAATGCCATACGGCATTCATACCGTTGATTCTTTTAGGGGGTTAAAAAATTCCGACGTGTGCTAAATGTGTGCCTAAGTTCTGATGTACGAATGCTACTATCCTCTAAACCGTCCCAATACTGGATACGCCGGATCGTTATATCCTTTACCGGTGTGTTCTCCGAGTGGCACCAGTTGGTCAATGGCAGTTTCATCAGCTTCCGTAGCGATGCAATCTAACAGCCCAAGTTATGCCTCAAGTTGTTCATCGTGCGCGGACCGATGATAAGAGAGGTAATCGTCGATTCGCCAGCCCCACGCCAACGAGAATTGTGGTCAACGTTTTGCCGTGTGCATCGCCAACGGTTTCAGTGTTGTGCACTCATAACTCTCCTCGCGGAGTTCAGTCTGTAAATCCGTCTATCCTTCTCGCGCCGCTCTTGAACCTCGGCGGTTCTTCGCTTCAGATACTTACCCGCAAAACAACTCGTGCCAAGACTATACGGCACAACCTACACCGATACTTTCTGACACAAACGCAGCAGCAACTCACCTCAACATCTCGGTTAACAATTTAACAGCGGTTGAACGCAGACAATTCCTCTAATCCTGCTTTTCACTCGTCAAGAGTGCCTCACAAGCACGCCACGCTCAAATTGGAACAGGCGATGTAACGCACTTTCCCCTGTCTTACACATCATCGCAGAGCGCGTAGCAGACTCGCCGCAATTCATGCGTTGAAGCACATCCAAACGGTGCAGTAGCATACACATCGATGATGAATCTCGTCTAGACGTCTACAGACTCTACGTTCGACCTGCTGACATGAATATGAATCGCGGTGGAACCTGCATGCCATTCACAGTCGTCATCGACCACATGTACTACTTCATTCGATCGCGATAACCATTCTCATCAGTTTTCACGAACTAGCTTTCCATACTCGTTCGGATTCACCATCGTTATAGACATCTTCGCACTGTGTCCCTAAAACGATAATGCGAGCATCAGAATCGCTATGAACATGATCGAATAATCGAACTCGATCCCTTTCATTCGAGGTCCGCCAACATCATCGTACCGAGACGAGCGTGAGACCTTCACACCGCAGTCCAAGTGTCCTATATTCCATATTGTTCTCCTTTTATGGCTAACGGCTATCAGCAGTGGCAGTCAGTTACAAGGGCTTTCAACACATCACGCATCCTTTGGCATATTCCAAGTGAGGATAGATCGACAGGAGCCTCTTAACTATCACTGCGAGGAAACCGACACTGAAGACTGACAACCATTTATCGCCATCCGTATATGCCACACAGTTGAAAAGTCCAGCGTCGCACCAGTCACATAACGTCCATCTTCGAAGAGACGAGAAAAAGATAGCACTCGCAATCTCTGAAGCATCGGCGACGCGCCTAACGGATCTGGTCCGTCATATCTGGATGATTTTTCGCCATTCCGTCGCCGTACACCCGGCGCGATGGAATTAACAGTAATCCGTACCTCCCCAGCACACGTGCAACGATTTCGTCAGACACATCACACCCGCTTTTGATGCAGATAAGGCGCAAGATGCGACCAATCCACGACCTGTCCAGCCAACGAACCGAGGTTGATAATCCGTCCAGATTCTTTGTGCTTCATCGTCTCCATCACCGCCTGAGAACAGAGAAAGGGACCTTTCAAATTCACAGCCATCATCCCGATCCCATTCGCTTCAGTGCAAAGCGTCTATAACGGGTATAACTGAAAATACCGAGCGTGTTGACCAAAACATCAATGCGTCCAAACGCTGTCAAGTGTCATCCTGAAACCCTCTCAACGCACATGAGTCGCCACGCTCAACATCTGTCTCAATAACTACGCATATGTCTAACGAGATCCGTATATTTCTGCTGAAGCCTGCTTCTGCGTTCGCTCTATATTTACTTCAGGATAACAATATCTCAGCACCACATTCTCTCGCGAACGCGCGAGGCCATGTCGCTTTTCCAATGCCACACATAGCCGCAGCCACCCTGTAACGATCGCAACTGCTGCCCGTTCTAACCGCATATATTCTATGTTCAATCCTTTAGCGGGTGTACTCTGAAGACACAGCCGAGTCAATTGTGCATATGCCGATTTTCTTCATTCGCAAAATTGCAATAAAATAGTAATATATCGCTATTATCGACACTTGAAGTGTGGCAAGGAAAGTCACACACGCTAAGTTGGCAGAATCATTTAATGCTCCGATAAGAACACCCGTTGATTCTCCACATATCGGCTGTAGAGCGATCTCCGAATCGCGACTTCTTCATCGATCTCCGAATCGCGACTTCTTCCATAAAAGCAGCAGAAAACCCAAAATTGATTGGCTCTGCTAAGTTGGCAAAAGGCTTGTTTATTATTGTCATTGTTATTCTGTTTGAGGGGAATTGAATTATGGAAAGAAAAATGTTTTTGTGCTGGCTTAAGGCAGTTCTGATCTTGGGTTTTGTTTGTAGTTTGGCATTTACGGCGACAGCCCAGAATTATTATCCGGCAGAGGTCGGCAACATTTGGGTTTTGGAGAGAAGTGATGCTGAGGAACGGCGCACCTATAGTCTTGAGGGACCCGAAACTATTGACGGAACCGAGGTTATCACCTTGAAGATTGAGACAGAAAAACTCACCACTGGTGATCTTGATACTGACAAATATTTCTTGACAGTTGGCAGTGAAGATATCAAACTCCACGGAACTGTCCAACAAGAAGCTGCTATCGGAGGCATAGTGACAGCAGATTTTCCAACACCTGCAACTTTTTTCCCGTTACATCTGGAACTCGGCGACAAATGGCAAATAGTAGCGGACGCAAAAGTTAAGTTGAACCTGGGGCTGGAAATAGGCGGGAAAAGTACTACTAATTTAGAAGTCGTCGGATTTGAAGACCTTGAGACACCAGCGGGAACCTTCCATAACTGTGCCAAGGTTGAGTTGGCGTTGCAATTCTCTGCCGGCGGTTTCATAAATCTGAGTCGACGACTTATCAATGGCTTGCTCCCGGATGTAGGTCCCGTCCAATACCAAAACAGCGACAGTCTGCTCTTCAAATTGGTAAGTTCCAATCTGCCAACTGAACCTAACCCTTACGACGTGAACGCTGATGGTGTTGTGAATATATTGGACCTCACCTTTGTCGCTGCTCGTTTCGGCGAAATGGATTCCGAAGCGGATGTGACAGGTGATGGTATCGTTAACATTTTGGATTTAGTCCGCATCGCACAGAATCTCACCAATTAGTCGTTATGCGCCATATTCATCTTGGCGTTCATCAAAAGGTTTCTGATGCAAATTACTTGTAACCTTGAAACCAATTGAAGTGTTACAATTTTTACTGATAAATGTTAGGACTTACGCATTCCCTCTTAAAGTCCCCCTGATAAGGGGAATTTAGGGGGTTTAAAGGACGAAAATTCCCACTTTTCGCGCCTAAATGTCCGATATTTGCTCAATTTGAGTAAATCCTAAATGTTATAAAATTTATTCACTATCACTCAGGATCTGGGTAAAATCAATATGGTAAGCTGGAAGGTGGTATTAGTTGTAATTATCGCTGCTATTCTGATTATGGCGATCGGGATGTGGTTTGGGTATCGATATGCGTCCGAACAGGAAGATATCCCGCCAGAAGGACACTATGAACCTTCTGACACCGCGTTACCGCGCCACAATCCACCACTCCTGCTTGCATCGGTTCCAGTGGAAATTCCGCTGGAATAGTTTATATCTTTTGAAAAAGGAGTTCTAAATTATGAAAGTTAACAAATTTATGGCATGGCTGAAGCCATTTTTGGTGTTGAGCATTATCTGTGGTTTCGCGCTTACAGCGACAGCACAAAATTATTATCCTGCAGAGGTTGGGAATACATGGACTTTAAACAGTGCAGATGGAACGCAACAACGCCGCTACACGATCGGGGAAGCTGAAGACTTCAATGGTTTGGAGGTACGCCGCCTTACAATTGATGAGGATACACTCGGCACTGGTGTAGTTGTTACGGACCACTACCTTATTACAGTTGACGACACTGGACTTACGTTGCATCGTTCTGATACAGATGAAGGGCCGTTCGGGATTGCTACGGTTATCTATGAACCACCCACCCTCTTTTTCCCCTCGTCGCCAACACTTGGGCAAATGTGGCAGATTTCTGGAGAAACGGAATTGCTACTCGTAGGCGCGACATCCAACACCACGAGTGATAGAGGTGGTCGCCTTTGAGGATGTTGTGACTCCAGCTGGAACATTTGAGAATTGCGCCAAGATTCACTTGTCCTACAAAACAACGACTGCACTTGTAACGCTACGTCCAGAAGAATATATCTGGCTTGCACCTGATGTCGATCCGGTCAGATTCATGAATGATCAGGATATTGTTTATGACTTGGTAAGTTATAGCTTAGTTGAGCCACCTGCAGCTGAAGAGATGCCTGTCGTAGAGGAAACACCGACAGTCGAAGAGACACCAACGACTGAGGAAACTCCTGTCATCGTGGAAGAACCGGTAGTGGAAGAACCGATGGTAACCAAAACTTTCGGTTTTGATCTCACGCTCGAACCCGCTTGAACATGATTTCCATACCGTTGATGCCGGAGGAGCCTTATACCGCAAAATCATTGGCAGAAATGTTGAAGGCAACCCTTGTTATCCGATTGGATCTGGCTAACTCAGCGTTTTAGTGCTTATACCACGGTTGATGAGGGGATTGGGTTTAGCATGTGGAAAAGGCTATATCGTCAATACGCCAACTGGAGGCATGGTAAAGTTCACCGGTACGGCATGGGATAACCAACCTGAAATTGCTGATAACGTACCTGCTGCAACC